CTATAATGCTATGCAATAAAGAATTGTTTCAAAATGTAACTTAAAGACTCCATAATTCAAAGAAATTCCAGAGAAGTATAGGGCTGTCAGACATAAATCAAGTAAGTGGTTTATGGCCACTTGGATATATGTGTTGATGTTTGGAATGTGGGAGAGCCATAAAATTAGTTGAAAAAAATATCATGAAATATCGAAATAATTTTGTTGCTAACTTTCTTGAACTTACTTGGGCATCCATTAAAGTTCTTCATTCATTAACCCATTGAGAAGAAAACTCAGACTTGCTTTAAACTTCATTTAAAATAGAAATGATGCTAGCAAGTCTAAATTATATCCTAGGGGTTTGGGTTAGCTATACCTTATTTCAGCTGCAGTTAACATCATTTAATATAGCAGTTCCAATAATTTTGCTCTCGTGATTTTGAGTTTTGTTGCCAATGTTTCATATTTCAAACAATTCTTTGTTGCATAACTGCTTTTAAAAAAAGATTGTTTAAAATGAATGGCCATTATTTTCTCAGCTTGTAAAAGAGGGCACAAAAACTAGGATGGTAAAAGAAAGCATAGAAATTGAGAAGTTAGCAATTGCTCTCTTATACTTCAGCATTTCTGGCACATTTCAAAAGAGAAGATGAAATAGGGATTCCACAGTTTCAAGTCAAGTTTAATACCACAGGTTCCTGTCAGCTTTGGGAAACTCTCCAGTCCCCCCCCCCCCACAACACTGACTTCTCAATCAAAACTTTTAAAGAGAAGAGTCCACTGGAGAACATTCAGAAATTTTAATCAACAGATGTTTGGCCATTACCAGAGGCCTTTGCTTGCTGCCAAGAACCACCTACTCACTTGGCAGTTCAGATAAAATGATCTATAAGCCAATTTATTTTTGGAGTTGCTTGAAGATCCTCTCAATGTATAAGACAGAAAGCTATCTGTGAGCTATCTGTAAATGGTTAAAGAGGAACAGGCACTCTTAAGATAACAAATGTGAGATTCAGTGCAAAACACCTGAAACTGTTTAATGAAAGGTGATGGGATCCCTTTTATCACTGGATTTATGAACCCAGGTTCCTAGGCCTTTGCAGACTGCCAGAAATAGTGCAAATTGAGTCCGCTTTAACTGCCCTGACTCAGTGCTAGGGAATCATGGGAACTGTAGCTTATTGTGGCACCAGAGCTCTCTGACAGAGAAGGCTCAATGTCCCAGAAAAAAAATTCCCATCATTCCCTAGCACTAACCCTAACCCTTAAAGTGGACTCAATTTGCACTATTTCTGGCAGTCTGCAAAGGCCCTCAGTGCTAGGAAATCATGGGAAGTGTAGTTTATTGTGGCACCAGAGCTCTCTGACAGAGAAGGCTCAATGTCTAAGAAAAAAATACAATTCCCATGATTCCCTAGCACTGAGCCAGGGCAGTTAAAGTGGACTCAATTTGCACTATTTCTAGCAGTCTGCAAAGGTGTCTCTCTTTTTGAGCCTATTAGAATTCTAAGATCATCAGAAGAAGCCCCTCTTTTCAGGCTCATTTGGTGGGAACAAGGGAAAGGGCCTTCTTGGTGGATGATCCCAGTCTTTGGAACTCCCTCCCTAAAGAGGCCAAGATAGCCCCATCCTTGCTTCCTCTAAGCAAATTAAAAGATTTTAAGCCATCAGGCTTTTAGAAACTGACAGGGGTGTGGCTTTTCTGCCATGTGAAGTTTGTATATCGTCTTTTACTGAATTTTAATATTCTAACTTTATAAATTATTGAATCACTTTGAAACTATCTGTTATGTTTATATATATATATATATATATATATATATATATATATATATAATTTGTATTCTTTTAAAATATGTTTTAAACAGGTTGTTAGCTGCCTTGAATCCCATTATTGAGAGAAAGTTAGAATAGAAATGAATGAATGAAGCTGAAGGTTTCCATGTCAGTAAATCTGCTCTGGATTTTAGTCTGAATTTTAAGGGGGCTATATATTTTTCTGAACCCTGTTCCTAAGCAAGATTCAGCATGTCCATGCGTTCCTTCAAAGAATCTCTTGAGATGAAGAGTTCAGCCAGGATAATGAACTCCAGCAGGAGAAAAACAAAGCTGCATCTGCACTACAGAAATAATGCAGTTTGGCACCAATTTAACTGCAATGGCTCAATGTTATGGAATCCTGGGATTAGTAGTTTTAGATATTTTCACCTTCTCTGTCAGAGAGCTCTGGTGCCACAATAATCTATAAATCCCAAGATCTCATAGCATTTAGCCATGGCAGTTAAAGTGGTGTGAAACTGCATTATTTCTACAGTGTAGATGCAACCTGAGTGGGAATCTCCTCCTGAGGCCATTGGAGGCACAAGCAGGGCCTTCTAACAGGGATCTATCACCTCCTTCCTATCCAGAAAGAAGACCAAGATGCTGCACCACCACGCTCTGGAGAAAGATGCTAATAGAAATGGGAGCTGGAAAGAGACCAGGAGTGAAAGAATGCTGATCTCTAAGAAAGCCTAACAAAGTAGAAACTAGTCTAATCAGCATCAGTTACATGTCTTCAGATTGGTTATTAGGGATGTAACTCTTCATAAATTTCTTTTTCAAAGAGGACAACTAGTAATTTTTTGCATTTTTCTTCATGCTGATAGAAAGTCATCAAAAACAATGTAGGCTTCAAATGAGACACAGGATGTATTCTGCTCAAAATTTGCATAAGGCTGTTTTGAACAGAAAAGAGCCTTTTGTGTGTAGAAATTAGCCTTTTGCTATGCAGAAAATGTTTGCTCTGCAAAACAATGGTATGCAAATTTTGCTCAGAAAAAAATAATGCAGGGCTAAAACAGACTGGCTTAAAGGGGTGGCATGACACTGCCCCTGAAAGATCCGGGTGGGTGCCATGGCAAGTGCATTCCATGGCTCTACTTCAGCATTTTGCCACCACAAAAAGCCACTCCTATTTGTGATGGCAAAAAGGCACTCCTTTTTGCAGT